GAATTTGAAGGGTGATTACATTTCTATCAGTACATATACAGGTAGCCTATATGCGGTTGGTGTGCAAATATGCAAATATACGTACTTGTAACCGCTGTAGAAGGGTTGAATTCTCAACCTTAGCGATCACGCAACTCGATCCGACATAGTATCCGACAGAGTATATGTGAGATTGTAAATCACGATAAATCAATCAGTTGTAATAGTAATAGACATTATATATGTGTGCAAGAGAGGCAGTCTAGTACAACATACAAGAGTTAGACCTTTACATGTCTGTTGTGAGTTTTGATCCTTGGTCAAAGTATTGATAATCGTCGTCATTTTTTATAAGAAGCCCACATTATGATTATGGATTGCTTTAACTTTGATACCATATTAAAATCTGAAATTTTAGTATAATAGAAGGAGTAACTCAAGACTTAAAATAGCAATTTATTACTTCCCAATTTTTGAGTGTAGGTCTCTAACATAAACATAGCAAGGCCAGTGACTAATGTAAGAAGCTAGAAGAAAACAATGTGTTCAGCCAAATTTAAAGGCATAAATTCATAGTAAAAATCTAGTTTTTTTTTTCAAAATAATGCTAAATAAAAAAAACATTTCCCAAAATAATATTTTCCAAAATAGTGCTGAAGGGCTGACCGGGGTTAACAAAACTGCCACTCCAAGTGGCGGCTTAGGCAAATGGAGGAATACACAAGGAGGATGATTTGACTTCCGGGTGCCACAAAAAAATCATATGTTTGTTTTAAATTACTATAATAATTTTTTTATTTGTATTTCAATTGTTATATATCAAAATATATAAATTTTTATTATCTTTCATATAACACCAATATTAAATATATATAAAATAAAAAATTATTTAGCTATTTCAAAAAAACTTTTATTTTTTAAAGTGTTGTAACTCTTTTATTTTTACTCCTATTTTTACAAAATATATATAAGAATTAATAACTTTTTATTATCTTTCATATGACACCAGTATTGCATATATAAAAATGAAAAAATTATTTGGCACTTTAAAAACTTTTATCTTTTAAAATGTTGTAACTTTTTTATTTGTACTCTCATTGTCACATAAAATATCAAAACTCATAACCTTTTAATATCTTTCGTCTAACACTAATACTACACATACAAAAATATTAAAAAAATGAAGATACCCTCACAAACTCTTTTTCCGAATTTAAAGTTTTGAGGTAAAAGCCTCTATTAGCCACATCTTCAACTTTTTTTATATGCAATATTGGTGTCATACGGAAGATACTAAAAAGGTTTGAGTTTTAATATTTTTATGACAATCGGAGTACAAATAAAAAAGTTACAACATCTTGAAAGACAAAGGCTTTTTTAAAGTGCCAAATTTGTTTTTCATTTTATATATGCAATGCTACTGTGATGAAGCATAATAAAAAGTTTGAATTTTATTACGTTTTTTGTAATAATCAGAGTAAAACAAAAAAAGTTACAACACTTTAAAAAACAAAAGATTTTTTTGAAATTGCTAATTTTTTTTATATATTCAATATTGGTGTCAAAGATAATAAAAAGTTACAAATTTTGATATATATTTTTATAATAATCGGAGTTCAAACAAAAAAGTTTTAGCAGCTTAAAATATACAGATGATGTTTTTCGATGGGTCCCATGAGTTAGTTCTCCTCTTTTGGTTGTGGGCTTGTTAGTCGGCTGCGGTATTTCCCCTTTCATAGAAGGCGCCACTTTAAATGGCGGTTTTTTAATATTGATCAACCCCAACAGTATTTTGGGAAATATTATTAATCCGACATTAATTTCAGAAATATATATTTATTTAGCATTATTTCGCGGAAAAACTAGTAAAAATCCATGTTAAAAATTTTAAAAGACCACGTTTACGTAAAAATGGCATCAATAAACCACATACGTAACATTTAAATTGGAAGCAATAAAATTAGAAGTAAATTATATAGCACATAGCTTTTTAAAATTCCTCCCATCACTTGTGTACTGTGTAGTAGTGCGTCCATACATATATGTTCAAACGATTTTAACATTATTGAATAGTAATAGTGTTAAATCGAGTTGGGGTTACCATTACCGAGTTAGCTCAATGGACCCATTGAGGTTACCATTACTGAGTTGGGTCCATGTCCATGCCGATTTTTATTTCAACTAGATTTTTCACCCGTGCTTCGCACGGGATGCAGTTAGTAACTAATAAATTATTTGTGAATATATAAAAATGTTATGATAAAGATATAGTAACGCATATATTGTTTTTAGCAAAATTAAATGAAGACAAAAAGATTACAAATTATATATACTTTCTTGTAAACAACATTTACAATCTTCTTTACTGTTTTTTGTCATCATCACATATAATAAACTTCAATTGAGACGGGGATGTTACTCTTGAGACTGCGATGTAAAATTGTCCACGGGTGAAATTCGAATGACATACAAAACACCAACCCCAAAAGATGGTTCCTTACCCTTGTTGATGGTCATCGCATAACTAAGCGTCAAAAGGATTTGTCTACACTGAAATGTGAACGACAACTTTATGAAAGATGGGGTCAAGCTAAGTTTCGAAATAAGTAATTATTGTCCTGCATTTGTTCTTGACATCATCTGAGCCTCGAGAATATGTGTTCCGAGCATAGTGAAGATAATGTGAGTGTCATTACACGAACCGATAGAATGACTGATATTTCTCATTAGCATAACAGGTGCAGCCACTTTCAACTTCAGCACACGACTTGACACACCGGAACATTTAATGGTATTGAGAAATTCTAGAAAAATGGGTCTCTTGATGGAGTGCACTATTTGAGTCAGTTTGATTTGACTTCCGGGTGCCTAATCAAATGGATAAGAAAGCTTTAAAATCACCAAACTAATCAGTTCTCATGTGTCTCTGATGACTAAATGTCTTTTGTACTTGCGTTTTGGGATCAAAGTGAGCAAGATTTGTTTTATGAAGTTCTATGAGGAGTGAACTTCTTTATTTTAAATATATTTACTCAAAATGCTTCTGCCCACAATTTTTACTGTTCTTAAAGACATGGTAATATATTCGTAATTTTTTTTTAGAATTTTAGTGACAATTAAATGTAATCAATTCATCTAATATGTAAAGAGTAAAACATTATGAAACATTTTTTATTTAATCAATTCATCTAATATTACAACAAACTTTGATTTATTTTTATGAGAGCTGTGAGAATTGCATTATATTGTACTAAATAGTTTCTAATGTTTGAGAAGGTTGAAGTGGAGATAGTATTGCTAACAACTGCCCGGTTTATAAATCCTGCATAGACACATGAAATTTAGGCATTTTGAATTCTGATTTGGCATCTGTCATCCAATGTACTTATTTTTTGTGGATATAAACCAAAAGAATTGATAGATACGTGGTATAACCATTTGTTATTGTACTTTGTTACTGATCTCTTAATACATGTACCTTGTATCCCAAAAAAGAAGAGCCAATTGGTTTGGATTGTGATCTGACGTACTAATTAAGCCTACAATTATCCTAGATTCTAATTTGGTAAGTTTTTCCCCTCTAATGAAAAATTAAAAAGCTTTCTATTTTAGGAAATCGGAGTTTCAATCACATCTAATACAAAAAACAGAATGTGTTTTCCACCATGTACCTCTGCATAAAATTAACCAAAATGATACTTAGCATATCTATACACTTTCAATTAATTTTATTATACGTATAAGACAAAATCTTGTTGATAACCATCTCATGATGATATATGAATATACTTTTGAATCAAATTAAACAATACATAATTATAAGTATTGTTTAATTTAAATTGTTACACTCTTGATATGTTGGTTCAGCTCAGCTGGTCGCCGACTCACTCTCCCTAATGGGAGGTCTCCGGTTCGAAACTCAATGGGCTAAGTTTCAGTCCAGTTTACTCCAGGCCCCTTCCCCAGACACCTCTTGGAGTAAAAGAAAATGTTAACTCTTGATTTATATATATGTCAACTTTTTTTAGCTATAAATGGGCAGACAAATTACTTAGACTTTTAAATTTAAACAATAAACACAACAAAAAATAAAAGAGAATAACCACTTTGAACTATTATTGAAAGAGCAAATTGCAAGGGCAAAGCTTTAATGAAAAACTCCAATTAATAAACAAAACCAAACTAAAACAACATTGAATAGTACAAACCACAAGAATATTTAAAGCTGCAACATTTAAACCCTTCAAAGAGTTTCAAGAATATTCAAACAGTGATTTTTAACAACAAAACTTCTAAAGTGACTTTTAATAATAACATTAAATGCATGTACTCTTGTTGGTGGCATATCCTACTTTGGAAAACTAAAAAAGCACATGGCTTCATAATCTCATATTAGAAGCATACTATTAAAGCTTTAAAAGAAGTAGGGAGTAAATAAGTAAAATAAATAAGAATAAATTAAAACATGGAACAACAAAATTATGGCTTTTGCTCACATTCAACAGGATCAAAATTTTATTTTTCAGGTGAGATTGAAAGACATATAAATATAATATTAACCCATCCACAGGTTCAAAAGCCTGTCTTTGCCACCACATGCAACTTTCTGACCATCTGGACTCAACCAATGACAAACACCTTCAAAATGAAAATAATAATGTATTAATTACGGCGCGAAAAGGTCTTTATGTTTCCCGATGTCTACTTTCTGGGAAGGAGTGAAGCTTTTACTCAGGTGTTCTCATTCTTGGTGAAGAGCATATATGTTTCTTTACGGCAGATAGTCATGTTTAATTTGTTATGTCTGAACCGAAAGTGAAAAATATACTATTTTGATATTTTGATTAAAATATCAAATGTTATATATATGATGTTCCTCAATGTAAAAGATATCAACTACCTGCAGTTTCCAATCTTGAGAGGCGAAAAAGTTTAGATTGGATTAAAAATTGTCATTACACCCTAAATTTTTCTTCAAGAAAAGTTGTCATTAGTTTATGGCAATGAAACCTGAAAGACATTGATGGATTATATGGACTCCGACCCCCCGGTATGCCGACTACTAGGCCTGGACAACGGCCCACACACGTTTAGCAGATATCATTAATATTATTGTACATTATTATTATTATTCAGATGTTCTAGATTAGCTTTTTATACTATCAGTCCATTTATGTAACCGGGTCTGTCAGGCCCATATTAGAGGCCCAGACCCGGATTTTCCCTATATATACTCCTTATAGGAAGGAGGCTTGTAACTCATATAACCAATACTCATTCTATACACATTTCCTTCTTCTTCATCATTTCTTCTCCACTCTTGTTCAATTTCTCCTGTTTATACAATATGGGTATCGATTATCCAACAATGGTGCTCTCGTTGAGAGGTTGAACACAATCAAGTAAGAAAACCTCCCCAAAATACCAAAAAATTCATCCAAAACACACACAAAAAAAATCTACCCAAAACTGTTCTTGAAAAGAAAATTTGAAATTTCAGATCAGGATTTTTCCAATCTGCTGGAACTGTCTTATCCGCTCGTTGCTGGTCGCAGCTGGCTGCTCCACCTCCGTCGTCACGCCACTAGGCCCACCAATCCCCGGCTTCAGCTACAGGCAGCACCGACCCCACAGAGAAGGTACCAAGCCGCGATACCTGTTCGGATCCATGGAGCTGCTCGCCTGAGTCAGAACGCTGCCTTTCCTTCGAGCCAGTCACAAAAGCAGCTCGCCTGAATCGCAGCAGCACCGCTACTCACTCGTTAACAACGGCTAAATACAGTTCAAGCTGCAAGAAGCAGTCTGGAAAATCCAAACAATCGGATCCAAAAAACCCTCCCAAACAATCCATCGAAAACAGTCTGGAAAATCCAAAGAAAAGGAAGAAATGTGGAATTTCAGATATGAAATTTTCAGATCTGGTCCGGAGATGCAATCGCCAGTGCGCTGTCGGCCGAATCTTGCTGCCGCTCAGTCCAGATTCTGTTTCCGTTGCTGCAGATCTCGCAAACCGTTGCTGCCGAACTTGCCTGCGCTGCTCCAAGTTATGGTCGTCGCAGCCTTGATGGACTCCACCAAACTTGGAGCTGTGGCCGCCGTCAGTCATCGTTGGGCGCTCCTCACTATTTTTGTCCGCAAGAACTGACTCTGTACAGAGAGAACAAGCCTTGCAGAAACCAGATCTTAGCATATCCGCCATTAATGGCCGGCGGGAAGGGAAGACGACCTCAAAACGGCAATGGTCCCCCCACCGCTCTAGTCGCAACGCCGCCAAACGCCGTTTGCAGTCGCGCCGTCACCTCGTCGGTCTCTGGTCGCAGCTCGCTTTGCCGGCTTCTAGCCAGTAGGTCTCTTATGTACCATCATTGCAGCGCCGCTTGCAACTTGCTCACTACGTCGCCAGCCGCCTCCCGCTAGGATTCAGCTAGATAAACTCAAGCTGCCGCGACGGATGAGAGGTCCTGCCCTTCGCCGACGTCGATACTTTCTCCTTAGCATGCGGATTTGGCACTGGAATCTCCCTAGTTAGGGTGCTCCCGCGTGAGGGCGGTGCTCCTACGACGTACGCTACATCAGTGGCTTTTGTTTTGCCAAGCTAATTAAGTTGGGCCAAGCTTGGGTTAAAAGAGATAGGCCCAAGATATTCTATTTCAAGGTGGTTTCAATGGGCCTCAATTTAAGCAACATATTTCAGCCCAATCAATCCATTATTTCAGCCCACTTCAAAAAGATAAGTACTCTTTAATTTTCATATTATTTATTTTTATTTAAATTAATTTTTTGTCGGGCGAGCATCACACTATCACACACTTATGATCAAATACCTAGTAGAGTGTGGCTTGAGACCCATCACTAGGATTTAAAGCCCTGACTCCTCAGGCACAAAGCCCTGTCTCCTCAGGCACAAAGCCCCGACCAAGTCGGGCATGAAGACAAAACCCCGACCAAGTCGGGTACGAAGACCGGTCTTAGTCATTCCTCGAGTGGCGACCGTTGCTTACGAATGGCTCACACATCCATTCTACTAAGTATTTTATCATTACATTAACAATTCACATCTCCACTTGTTTCAAGTGACGAACTCCCGATCGGGAACATAAATCCCAAGAAAAAAAATTTATATGTATGATAAATGTGTAGGTACGAAGATGACTTTACTCATTTTCACCTCGTCTCCACTCGCCTCAAAGAGTGGGGACTGGGGGACTGAGGGGTCAGAGTTTCTAGATGAGCAGAAAATATCACGCAAGAGCAGGAACGAGAGCTGAGTCAGTTGAGGAGGAGCTGAGCTAGATTGATTATGCCGGAGGGGATTTACCTTCCTTGTTTCATGTTGGGGGCGCTAGGTGTACTCTTTTTCCCTTTATTAGGATTTTTTCCCACTGGGTTTTTTCCTAGTAAAGGTTTTTAACGAGGCACCTCCCCATAATGGACAAGGGTGGTGGTCCCCCGGTCGAAAAGGAAGAACGTTGCAGATACAGTTTGGACTACTCCCTTTCGCCTCGAGTACTCTCGACTCAGGGAGTGGGGGACTCCTGATGGATTATATGGACTCCGACCCCCCGGTATGCCGACTACTAGGCCTGGACAACGGCCCACACACGTTTAGCAGATATCATTAATATTATTGTACATTATTATTATTATTCAGATGTTCTAGATTAGCTTTTTATACTATCAGTCCATTTATGTAACCGGGTCTGTCAGGCCCATATTAGAGGCCCAGACCCGGATTTTCCCTATATATACTCCTTATAGGAAGGAGGCTTGTAACTCATATAACCAATACTCATTCTATACACATTTCCTTCTTCTTCATCATTTCTTCTCCACTCTTGTTCAATTTCTCCTGTTTATACAATATGGGTATCGATTATCCAACAGACATCTTGGTGATTATATATTCATATATAAGGAGCTATAGAATTTATAAAAAAATATAATATTGAGAAACATATTGCTTGAAACACGTGCTTGTACCACTTTGCGACTGTGATAGTAACATGGAAATGTTAAATTATGTCAAACCTTCTTGTGACGTGCTCTGTACACACATAAAAGAATACAAATTAATTATTTAGATTTATTTTCAAACTAAATTATTTATTTCAAACAAAACATTTGCAAAAATTGCACCAATTCAACCACCTTCTTATTTGGGGAAAAACCTCTAATGAAATTCCAGAAAGAGTGAGCAGTTTTTTTATGCCTGTAATGTACTCATAGCATTCTGTGACTGATAGAAAGTTGGACTTGCTAACTAGTTTGAATTAGGTAACACCTTAACAATTGCATATCAAACTCATATGTTATTTTCAAACAATTCAGTTATTCCATACAAAATATCTTGAAACATATATAAATCATCGTTCTAAGTCTGATGTAGTATACAATCTAGGAGCTGTACATCTTGGTGAATATATAAATTATATATTCATAATTAATTTTCTCTATTTTGTTTATTCATAATAATCGCTCTAAGTCTGATTCTTTCAGTTTTTATTTTAAAAAGATTGTTAAAAACCAAGCAAGCATCATTACAAATCCTGTGATAAAGAGAAGAAATCTAGGCATAGGTTTGAGTAGTGAGAATTTCACTTTTCACTACTTATAATCTTAGTGTTTCCAAACCATAGCCCAAAACGAAAGAAACAAAATGCATTTTTGCATGAGAGCCACATTTTGGAGCAATACATGTTGTCAACTAATACATGTTTTTCATTATTATGTTTTTAGGTGTGTGAATTTGGACGACAAAGCTATTAATTTTCAACTAAAATAAAATGTACAAATCTACAATTTTACTCCTTGAACTAAATTGAAATTGATTTTATACCTTATACAAATTAGACTAACAAACAGCATAAAGAGACTCTATATATACCATTGCCACTGCATAAAAAATCAAATCATATAACATACCTCCGAAGTCAAATGACATATCATATCACTACTAGATTTTACCCCTTTCCTTACAAACATTTTGCACACAATTTTAATTTTGTTGGTAAAGATTTACTTTGCCAACAAAATAAATGTTTCGTAGGTGCTTATCTATCCATACCAATTTTCCTTTTCATACAAAAATTAATTGTGGGGTAAGTTTTCATATCCCCACAAAACAATATTTCTTATGGATAGCATTTCGGCCACAAATACTTTATGATACAAAGCAAAATTTGTCGGCAAATATTGTTTATCCATACAAGAAAAAGTTATTGTGTGGATATGTTTGTGTATCTTTTGCTACAAGCTAAGGTGATTTTTTTCATGGTTAAGATACATACTTTACTATGATTATTACGAGTATTATTTGATTATTATTATTATCTTAGTTATAAATATACAGTAAAAATTAAAGGAATAAAATACGTAGTAATTTATAATATCGAAGTTTAATCGATCCCAAAACACGTGTCTGGAAAGTTCAGAAGAAAATACTCTGCATTATACTATTACTGCTCAAACACAGTAGAAAAGAAAATTACTTCTCAATCCAGGAAAATTAAACGTATTATTTGAATAAATTAAAGTATAAATTTATATGTTGTTGGTCACGCACTCACGCACAAATGGCACAGTATGATTTAAAATTAATACTATGTCTAAATATGAGGCCACAACAACTTGTATTTAAATTTTCTTACATCTAATTGTACATACAGACATGCGAATTAAACTGAAAGGATACGCTAATCCAACACAACTAATTAAAATGTTTTTACTTTGACTAATTTTTTTTTATCTGATCTGATTTAGTTTGATATGGACCATATGGTTTGGTCTGTAGATGTCTGATCTATGTATATTTTGCAATTCTTGATGTATGATCTGATATGCTTAAATCTAATACGGAGTATGTTCTGTTCTAATCTGAGATGATGGTTTGGGATTAAAACTCATCCAAGTAACAACAAATTATAAGTGAAAAGTAATTTTTTTAAAGAGGTGAAAAGTAATTTTTTTTCACCATAGGTGGGAGCCGTTGCGGCACTGTGGTGTTGATAATGTTGATGAGGTGAAAAGTAATTTTTTTAAACAGAAAGAGGTGAAAAGTATTATAAATCAAATAAATACTTGGCTGATCTTTACTTAAAATAATTGACTAATTCCAAACAAATAATTAAGTAGTCCGTACAAGAATAGACTGGAAAAGGAGGTGATAATAATTCAATAAAAATAAACAAAAACACACCCCCATCTGATGGAGTAACTGAATAATTGAGGCTACTATTTCGGCGGCACTATCCGGAAATCTCCAACGGAAATTGGTTCCAAACATAATTTTTCCCTCTATCTTTTTCACCCAAATCTTAGTACGTACGTGGAGTACTTTTACCAAACTGTAATATATATCCTCCCACTCCTGCCGCCTATCTAGTTCGTGTGTTCTGTGTTCATCATTTCATGTTATTTTTTTTCATTCGGCAATCTCTGTAGTGGTAAAAGCTATAAAGTATGTCTCAATTCACTTTCTAAAGAAACTAGTTTCATTCAATAATTCATCTGGTTTGAACTTTTCCCTTAATTTAGATATGTGTTTTTGGCTATGTTATTTTTGTTAATGTTAGAGATTTTCATAAGGTCAATTTTCCATTTACAACCTCTATAGGACTGGGTTGATAATGAATAAAATCTGGAATAAATCTAGTGTTTTGTTACTGAACAATATATTGCTCGTACTGGTATTTGTTCTAGGTGAAAAGCCTGGGCAACGAATTCGTGGAATAGGAGATGGGCGTCTTAGAGAACTAATCTAAAGCATCATCATATGGAGAATGAGTTAGTAGTTGAACGTGCTGCAAGAAAAGTTGTTGACGTTGCTCGAGTCGAGACAAAGAAAAGGCTTCACATAAAAATGAAGGTTATGGACCAACAATTCAACTCAACATTGGAGGCTTGGCATAATTCACTAGTCATACAGTAATGTTTCGGGATTTGTTCTGCTGCCCTTTCCGGCATTATCAGTTGATCTGGATGATGAGGCTGAAGATGAATCCTATCATCTTGATTAGGATAATCATGGAAAGGACTCAAAGGAGTAGAGTTTTAGGAGATATTAGTTTGTTTTAAACAAGAACAATACTTTTCAAGATATTAATTTTATGTTTCATTATGTACGAATAAATTGATGATTTTTATGAATTAGTTGTTTCATTTTTTGTCTAGTCATTCAATTGAAACATATGTGTGTATCTGTGTGTCTGACGAGTTCACAATGAGGTGTATATAGTTAGATTTTTATAATTAATTTGGTTTAGAATGTTTGTTTAATTTTAGAAGTATGTTTGTTCTTATAAAGTTGGATTTTAGAAACGTTACTTGTGTTCAACTTTGTGGGCCTAGAAACATAAATCAACAAATCATTATATCAATGGACACTAATATTTGTATACAAAAGTATAATTAGGCTACAAAGTTTCATACGTACTCTGTGATATTTGTATTCTCAGATTTTTTTATCCAACAAATTTTGTCTTTGTAAATAACTTTTTTTCATGAATGTATTTGTTACGAAAGAGTTAAGCCTACACGTTTTATTTGTGTGCTAAAGGTTTGTCCTCCTATATCTCAACATACAAAGTCTTAAACTTTGTGTCCTAAGACTTTTCCCTACAAGGTTTGCGTCACAAATTACACTACAAAATAAAATCGTAGGGAAATATTTTAGAATACAAAAAAGAATCTTTCGATACAAATATGATTTGTGGGCAAAGTGTAATTTTCTTGTAGTGTATCTACATGAAACAACATTTAACAATTTAGCTATGGTATATCTCATTCTCAATAATTGGTTATTCACTTTCAATTTGGATTTACATATTTTTGTTATTATTTTTTTTGAAAAATAACTCATGAAAAAAAGAGTAAAAACATGTGAAATAATAACAAGTCTATCAAAAAGCTTACTTTCTAGGCGCATGTATGGTACTTTGATATAAAAAATAAAGACATCTCATAAGCCAATAAATGTTGAATATAATATCTCTTTGAAATTTATAAAGTACAATTAATAAGAATAATTATAATTGACTTCATGCTTATGTTAAGTTTCATACTTTCATTTTTATAGTTGTAGTTTTCTTCTTAATATTGTATTTAACACATATTATTAAGTTAAACTTCACTCAATTTTATGGCAATTTTTTTTCAACTAATGGTAATAAACTAATGGTGATAAATATTATGTTCTATTTTTGAATTCTCATAACATTTTATTCACATTTTGGAAATTTATACATAGAAATCGAAAATTAGTTTATATTTTAACAATGTTTTTAAACAGTTCCTAAAAAACACAATGTTTATAAACAGACCAGACCAGATTAGACTACCGTATTACAACCCATCTAAAAACAATCTAATAATTATAACATAATACTTTGTGTTGAAGATTTAACATATTACTAATTGTGTTAATCCGTATGTATTCCCTTTTTTAGGATAATCTTTTGGAGAGGCTTGGTGTTCCTAACGACGTCCGGCTTTCACCATGGATAACTTTACGTTGTGGTCTCAAGCGTAACGTCTCTATCTAGATTGAAGTTTATGTAATGTGCAGAAGCAATGTCACTATCCTTGGAGATCACCTGGGAAAGGCCTTTTTCCAATTCATCTTCTTGCTTCATGAGCTCTTCTTTATCCATGTTGAGCTTCTCCATTTCATTGCAGGTTACCTTTGACAAGGCTTGGAGAATATCCAGTTTGTCTTTATATGACATGACCTCATTCAAACGACCACGTATCGGGGTAGCATTAAACCCATGCGACTCCAATTCAACAAATGTGTCCAGCATTCCATCAATGGTGCTTCTCGGACAATCAACTTCATATTTGAAGGCCTTATCTACTATATCTGTGAAAGTTCCCGTGTAGAAGAAA